CCTCGGAGGCGCTGCGCTGGCTGGAGGGTCGGTGCCGATCGCAGACACGTGCCCGTCAGTGGCCCGCACGCACGCACGCTCCGGTGTGAACTCCTGACCCTCGATGCTGCGAGGAGGCTCGGGATGACCTCCACCATCCGCTCGGGGAGGCGTAGTGGAACTCTTCTCGGGAGGAGGCTGGTCATCGATTGCGGGCACTCCCTCAGCAGCGCTCCCACCTGTCGCCACGATACTGGCGCCAGGGGGGGAGCGATGGGCTATGACCTCGCTGGAAGCTTCTCGGACTGAAGGCCCGCCTTCTGCGTGCTCGGCCCTGTCAAATCCAGGAGAGGCGGCGGGCGAGGGGCACTTCCCGTCGCCGCTCGTGGCCACCTGCCCGTCGGCACTCTCGGGGGCCCTTGGTGCCGTCCCCGATTCTCGAGCTGAAGGCTCGTCACCTCTGAGGTGGCTGGATGCGCCTTGGAGTCTCGAGCTGAAGGCCCGCTCTGCTGTGTCACAGGTCGCTCCAAGGGCTGAAGGCCCGTCTTTTATGACAATTATGCTACCTCCCGCTGCGTCTTGGGCCCTCGAGCTGAAGGCTCGCTCCGTATGAGAATCTCGAGCTGAAGGCTCGTCAAGCCCAGGCCTGTCTGACTGGGGGGCGGGCGGCTGACGAACATCTTCGGGATTAAGGGCGTGTCCAGGGAGTTGACTGGTCGCAGGATCGACCATGGCGCTGAGGCGTCCGCTTGGGGCGTCCAAGGCTGCTGGGTCGATCGAAGCTGCTGTCTCGCTGGGAGCTCCTCGGGCTGAAAGCCCGTTGTCTGTTCGAGTAGCGCTGTCAACTCCAGGGAAGGCGGGCGCGTGTCGACTCCTGTCGCCGCCTATGGCCACATGCCCAGCAGCGCTCCCGAAGACCATAAGTGCCGTCTCAGGTTCTCGAGCTGAAGGCTCTTCACTTCTGAGGTTGCTAGATGTACCTTGGCGCCTGGAGCTGAAGGCTCGCTCAACTGTGTCAGAAACCGCTCCAAGGGCTGAAGGCCCATCTTCTATGTTCAATTCGCAGCTGCAGGCTGCTTCACTCAGCGCAAAAGCATCCAGGAGGGGAAGTTCGGCGGAGCGATGGCGCGAGCCTCTGCAAAGCGAGTCGGGACCAAGGGCAGGCGTCTGCCTGTCTCCTCTCCCGACGCCCTCGCGAACACCCCCTGGGGAGGCCAACGGTTCGCTATCCGATCCAAGGGAAGCGACGGAAGGTCGCAATGTCGGTGTGCATCGCGGGGTTGATAGCATCAACCCGTCCTCCCGATTCCAAGGCCCCCCCCCCCCCCCCTCCCCAACGCAACGGCCCAACGGTTCGCTATCCGATCCAGGGAAGCGACTGAAGGTCGCAATGTCAGTGTGCATCGCGGGGCTGATCGCATCAACCCGCCCTCCCGCTTCCAAGGCATCCGATCCAGGGGAGCGACTGAAGGTCGCAATGTCAGTGTGCATCGCGGGGTTGATGGCATCAACCCGCCCCCCCACTTCCAAGGCCCCCCCTCCCCAACGCGGGCGCCCCACTGCCTGCCGTCATCCGATCCAGGGAAGCGACGGAAAGTCGCAAGATCTGTGTGTATCGCAGGGATGGACGCATCACCCCCTCCTCCAGGATCGTGCCTGCCGCTCTCAGGTCCAGGGGAGCGACCGAACGCTGCGTCGGCGTCGGAAGGCGCTCCAGGGACTGAAGGCCCATCTTGCACGGTCAGTGCGCAGCCGAAGGCTACATCACTCGGCGCAGGCGCGTCCAGGAGGGGAGGCTCGGCGGAGTGTAGGCACAAACCTCTGTGAAGCGAGTCGGGGCCAAGGGCAAGCGTCTGCCCGTCTCCCCTGCCGACGCCCTCGTGAGCGCCCCCAGGGAGGGCCAGATCCCTAGGCTCCCCCTCCAAGTCACAGTGGTCCCTGGGTCGAACGCCGAAGGCATCTCTCTGCCCCTCGTCAGTCTGCCTACGAGGACCTGGATACGGGGGGGTGGCTCGTTCAAGAGTGGGGTCCTCGCCCCCCGTGCTCCAGGCATCGCGGAAGGCACTCCCACTCGGCCCAGCACCCCCCAGAGAGAACGAGATTGGGCGCCCAGCTGTGGGCATGGGGGGGGGTTGGGGTGAGAGGGGGGGATAAGCTAGGCGGGAGGGCATCATGCCTGCCGTTATCACATCCAGGGAAGCGACTGAAGGTCGCAACGTCAGTGTTCGCACTGTCGACGCCCTCGCGACCACCCCCTGTGGGGGCCAGATCCCTGGTCCTCTCTTCCACGCCGCTACGGTTCCTGGGTCGAACGCTGTGGGCATCCCTCTGCCTGCCGTCATCCGATCCAGGGTAGCGACGGAAGGTCGCACGTTCTGTGTGTATCTTAGGGATGAACGCCTCACCCCCTCCTCCAGTATCGTGCCTGCCGCTCTCAAGTCCTTGGAAGCGACTGAGCGCCGCGTCGGCGTCGGAAGGCGTTCCAGCAGCACTCCCACCTGTCGCCACAATGCTGTTGCCATGGGGGGAGCAATGGAGAATGAGGTGGTGGCCGACGGCCCCGGCAACTGGCAATGTGATAGCTTGAACTCGTGCCGCCACAAGTTGAGCCCCAACCGCTTGAGCATCAACAGATAGCGCCCTTGAGGTACTGTTGTCAGGGGAGGAGCAATGGGAGGTGAGGTGGTGGCCGACAGTCCCGGCGACAGGCAATGTGATAGCTTGAGCTCGCGCCACACGCTGATAAGAAGAGCACCTCGACTGTCCAACGGCTCTTCACCTCTGTGGTTGCTCGATGTGTCAGTCTCTGGCTATCGAGCTGAAGGCTCGTCCTTTCTGAAGCTGTGAGAGGACAACTTGCCAGGAGCGCTCAGGCCCCTCGGAAGCCTCGTAAGGTAACTTTGGCCCCTGGCGGCCGTTCGGGACGATCTGGGCAGCCCCAGACTGTCCTCGGCGAGGCGCCGCTGCTGGAACGGATCCGAGGCTGAAGACCTGCCCAGCTCGGACGAACGCGCGGGCCCTTCGAGGGCGACACCTCCCGGCCACAGGCGGCCTTCGGCCAGCTCCACGCTCAGGGACCGCTTGTTCTCCTCAGGGTCCTCGATGCCGTCCCCCGACGACTGCTCTTCTCGTGCGCGCCGTTCACAGTGACGTACGTGTTGATATAGAGCTCCAGCTTCCCGGCCACAATCTCTCCCAGCAGCGCCACAACCTGCTGCCACAGCAGGCGCCTGCTCTTCTCGCAAGCGCTCTTCACAGTGCCGTTGGTGAAGATGGTGGGCAGGATGAAGAGGGTGATGATGTAGGGCGCCATGAAGAGGGTGATGAGGTAGGGCGCCAAGATGATCGGCGACGGTGGCAGCGGTCCCAGCAGCGGCCGCGGCCGTCAGCCCGGCCTCCCCTCCCTCTGGCGTGAGGCAAGGCCCGTGGCCTGCTCCTGGGAGACACCGGGAGGCCGCGGTATCACTGTGTATACTGACGACGTTCTCCCGTCCCGCCTCTGCGGGGGCTGGGTCACAAGTCATGTCTTCCCTCTGCCAACGATCCCTGGGTTGAACGCCGTGCGCCTCTCTCTGCGTGCCGTCGTCCGGTCCAGGGTAGCGACGGAAGGTCTCACGTTCTGTGTGTGTCGTGGGGGGGAGAGCCTCTCCCCCTCCACCAGTGTCGCGCCTAACGCTCTCGTCTCCAGTGGGTCGACTGGAGGCGGCAGCGCTAGGGTGAACATAGCCACCGCACCCCCGTCCAACCCCCGTGGGGGTAGGGTCCCTGGTCCTTACTCCCACATCCGACTGGTCCCTGGGTCGAACGCCTTGGGCCTCATCCAGCCTTCCGCCATCCGCTCCAGGGTAGCGACGGAAGGTCGCACGATTTGTGTGTATATCAGGGATGTCTGCCCCCCCCCTTCTCCAGCATTATGCCTGCCGCTCTCGGGTCCATGGGAGCGGTCGAATGCTGCATCGGCGTCGGGATGCGCTTCACGGGTGGAAGGCATGGCTCCACCGCTTAGCTCGCCAGCGTGGACGGCCTCACTCAGCGCGGGCACGCCCAGGGGGGGGGGTCGGCGGTGGGTTGGCGTGAGCCTTGATGGAGCGCGCCGGGGCTGCGGGCAGCGACCTGCCCGTTCCTGTTGCCTATGCCCTCGCGAGCGCCCCCTGAGGGTATCAGCTCCCTGAGCGCGCCACCCGAGTCAACCTGGCCCCTGGGAAGACCGCGGCGGACGTTCATCTGCTCATCGTCAGTTGACCTAAGCGGGACTGGATCCGTGGGAAGGTTTTGTGCCGAAACGGGGCCCTCTCCCCCCCATAGCCCTGGTACCGCCTAGGGCCGCTCCACTCTGTTCGACAGCGCCTGGAGAGAAAGAAATTGGACGTCTTGCAGTGGGCATGGGAGCGGTGGGGGTGAGAGAGGCGGTTGGGTTAGACAGGAGGGCTTCGTGCCCACGGTCATCGCGTCCAGGGGAGCGACGGAAGGTCGCAACGTCGGGTTGCCTTCTGCCAGCGTTGTCGCGACCATCCCCCACGGGGGTCAGCTCCTTGGTGCATTCTTCCTCTACACACCGTTCCCTGGGCTGAACATCGCGGGCGTCCCTCTGCCCGTCGCAGTCCGTTCCAGGGTGGCGACGGAAGGTCGCACGTTCTATGTGAATTGTGGGGATGGCCGCGCTACCCCCCCCTTCAATGCTGCGCCTGCCGCTGTCAGGCTCCTGAGGGTGGCCTGGAGTGGCGTCAGCATCGATGTGCGCGCCGTAACCTGAGGACACGTCTTCCATGCTCGAACCGCTGCGGAGAGCAGCCTCACTCGGGGCGGCCGCATCCAGAGAGGGGGGCACGGCGGAGTGAGGGCAAAAAACCCTAAGTTGCGCGACGGGGCCGAGGCGACGTGACTGCCCGTCTCCCCCCCATTTCGCCTTCATGGGCGCCTGCTGGGGGTGTGTGGCCGTCGGCCCCGGCGACTGGCAATGTGATAGCTTGAGCTCGTGCCGCCACAGGTTGAGCCCCAACCGCTTGAGCATCAACAGATAGCGCCCTCGAGGTACTGTTGTCAGGGGAGGAGCAATGGGAGGTGAGGTGGTGGCCGACAGTCCCGGCGACAGGCAATGTGATAGCTTGTGCTCGCGCCACACGCTGATAGGAAGAAGGAGCTGTACCTCGACCATCCAACGGCTCTTCACCTCTGTGGTTGCTCGATGTGTCAGTCTCTGGTTCTCGAGCTGAAGGCTCGTCCTTCCTGGCGCTGTGAGAGGACAACTGGCCAGGAACGCTCAGGCCCCTCGGAAGCCTCGTACCGTAACTTGGGCCCCTGGCGGCCGTTCGGGGCGATCTGGGCAGCCCCGGACTGTCCTCGGCGAGGCGCCGCTGCTGGAACGGATCCGAGGCTGAAGACCTGCCCAGCTCGGACGAACGCGCAGGCCCTTCGAGGGCGACACCTCCCGGCCACAGGCGGCCTTCGGCCAGCTCCACGCTCAGGGACCGCTTGTTCTCCTCAGGGTCCTCGATGACGTCCCCCTTGAACCAGCCGAGGGCCCCGAAGTACAACATTCCGACGCCCGGATCGGTCCTGCTGAGCCTGCCCACACCTCCCGGCCACAGGAAGATGTCCGTCCCGATGCACCCCATGGCGGCCCACGTGGCAATGCGGCCGTGCTTGATCTCGGTGCACCTGCTCCTGTAGACGACGCCCGCACCGCCGTCCTTTGCAAGGCCGAGCGGGTCCCAGTGGCCGAGACGGGCGTCTCCAGGCCCCACACGCTCTCAACGGCGCGCGGCGGCGGATCCGTGTAGGTCGCCCATTCGCCCCGGGCGGAGCCTGTGAGGCCGTCCTGGAGGAGACTCCCGATGATGGCCATCATGGCTCGGCGGCCGTTGGGCAGCTCCGCGTTCAGGGAGCGCATCCTCCTCTCAGGGACCGCGCTGCCGTCCCCCTTGATCCCGTTGAGGGCCTCGAATGCAAGTCCATCGCAGGCGACACCTCCCGGCCACCGGAGGAACTCTGGGGCGATGTACCCCCTGGCAGCCAACATGGCGACGCGGCCGTGCTTGCTCTCGGTGCACCTCCTCCTGTAGGAGACATCCGCGTCACAGTCCTGCGCAAGGCCGAGAGGGTCCCAGTGGCCGACGGGCGCCGGCACGCCCAACGCGCCCTCGAAGGCGCGCGGCGGGGAGCCAGCTGCTCCACGGCCAGCTGCCACTGCCTCCGCCTGCGGCGGCGGCGGCCCGCCCGAGGCGGCCGCGGCGGCGGGGGCGGCGGCGGCGGCCGCGGTGGACGCGGCGTCACCGTCCGTCGTGAAGCCAGCGGGGTTCCAGAAGCACCCAGGCACCTGTATGTCCGACTCGCTCACGAAGGCGCGCAGCAGGGAGCCCGTGTACCGCGCCCAGTCGCCCCACGCGCCGCCCACGAGGCCGCCCTGGTAGGGCATCCCGGGGTTCCCCATCCCCGCCAGCCATCCGTTCGCGACCACGGCGTTCAGCATGCTGAGCGCGGTCCCGTCGGCCGGGGCGCCACCAGCGCCACGGCCAGCGGCCGCCGTCAGCGGCCCGCCAGAGGCGGCCGCGGCGGCGGCGGCGGCAGCGCCAGCCGCGGCGGGGGCAACAGCGGGCGCGGCGGCACCCGCGGCCGCGGCGGCCACGGCGGCGGCCGCCGCTCCCGCGGCGGCCGCGGCCGCAGCGGCCGGCCCAAGCGCAGCGGCGCGCGCCACGGCGCCGGCGGCCGCGCCGGCCTCGCCGCGGCCAGCCGCCGCCGCGGCCGCGGCGGTGGCAGCGGCGGCGGCGGCCGCGGCGGCGGCGCCGCAGGCCACGCCAGGGCCGCCAGGGGCCGAGGAAGGCCGCGGCGGCGGCCGGCCAGCCGGGCTGGCCGCGGCGGCGGCGCGGCCAGCGGCAGCGCGCCGCTGCCGCCGCCGCAGCGCCGAGCGCGACATCATGGCAGAGCGAGCAGGGGCGCGGAGGGGGGCGACCCCCTCGCACGCCCCCGCGGGCATGGACGCCGAGGCCCGGAGTGCAGGGGCCCAGCCAGCCGCTGAGGCCCGCTTGAGCCAGAGCGGCATGAGCCGGGGGGGCTTGAGCCAAAATGGCTACGGAAGCTGGCGGTGATACGCGAAGCGTCAAGAATTCCAAGTCCTAAGTGATCGGCGCCAACTGCAAGCAGCCACCGCGCACTCCTTTGCTCAGAGGCCTGATCTCGGCCCGCGATTCCGCGGCCTGGCGGATCAAAACGCCTCCCATTCTCGCATGTTTACCGTGGGCGCTAACGGGCTCTCCGCCTCTCTCGCTTCATGTGCGACACCCCCCCCCTTTGCGTGTTCGGCGCTGGGCGTTGCACGAGACTGGGCCGGCCGCGGCTGGCCCCACGACTGGACAAAGCAGAAAAGGAGGAGGGCACGGAGGAAGAGAAAGGGAGGAGGCGAAGGAGGAGTAGGAAGCGGCAACGTTGAAAACTCTCATACCTCGAGGAACCGAGGAGGAGTAGGCAGATGACGACAACGACGACGACCGTGACGAAGTGGCGGTGGGCACGTCCACGAGGCCCCCACACGCTTGCAGGTGTGCGGGGTCACTGTCTTCAAGGCGCCGATCCCTCCCAGGAAGCCCCCTGCCGTTTTAGATTGGTGCCCCCCTTGGGGAGTATCGATGCCGATGCTCCCTGGACGTCTCCAGGGGTGCGCTCTGACCAGGATTTCCAAGCGCAGGCAGCCGTGGCGACGCAGGAAGAGCAGCGGCATCGGCAGATGCTCCCTCCCTGGCACGCGGAGTGCGCCAGGGGCGGCGCCGGAGACGCCGCCGGGGGGGCCCCGGCGCGGATGCAAGAAATCCGCGCGGAGCGCCAAGAGTTTATGTTCACGGCGCGCTTTCTTCTTCGACATGCGGCGGCGGGCCGCGCCTGCTGTGCAGAGCCCCGCTCGCGTGCCAGCAGCTCGGCGGCGCCCTCCGGGGGGCCGCAGGGGTCCAGCAGCTGCCGCAGCCGGGCCTCTGCATAGCGTGAGGCCTCCGCCGCGGCCGGCAGGCGGGCGAGCGGAATGCCGGACACGTCGTCGTCGTCGTCGTCGTCGTCGTCGTCGTCGTGGTCGACGCATAGGATCGCGGGGCCGCCGTCGCCGGTCGCGTAAGGGGCGGACGGAGCGGGGAGGAGAAGGAGACGATGCGCAATCCCACCTTGAGGAATGGTTCAACGAGGAATCACTATTGCCTGGGCTTGCCTTCATTGCTTCCCGAGGTTGCGTGGCTCACCGCTGTTGCTGGACACTCGAGCCCTGATGATGGTATGTCTTCCCTGTCCTCTCGTCCTCCGCTCCCTTGCATTGCTAGCCGCCGCCCCTTCGCGATGGCGGCAACTGCGTCCTGCCCGCACTGGCGGGTACCGCACTTGCGATGGCCACTCCCATGATCTATTCCTCCCTTTTCGCTTCTCTCTCCCTTCCTCGTGCTCCCACTCCTCCTCCTCCTCCTCCTCCTCCTCCTCCTCCTCCTCCTCCTCCTCCTCCTCCTCCTGCTCCTCCTCCTCCTGCTCCTGCTCCTCCTTGTCCTCCCTGCTCCCTTCCCTCCGTTCTCTGCTCCTCTCTCCTTTCTCTTACCAGACTGGTCCGGGGGATTCCTGGGTTGGGTTGACGGGGAGGTGCTCGAGGAGTCGCAGGGTTGCTCGGGGACGTGTGGGCAGCTTTGGGCGAGTGCAGCTCTCAGCGCGCTTGCGCCCCGTCACTTGAGGCAGGCCACGGCAGGCGCTGGCTCCCCCGAAGCCCCCAAACATGCCTCGCACAGGCAAGCTCTGGCCTGCCAAGAATAAGGCCCGAGCGCAGGGCACCTGCCCACTGCCGCATCCCCCACTGGGGAGCCCCTCCGCCTCTTCCTGACCCGGAAGATCTCGGCACCAACGACGCCCCAATTGGGGCGCACTGACTGGAACTGAGTCGAGGGGGAAATACACCGGGGGAGGGTAGAAAGCGGAGGTACATTAGGAGCCCGACCACAAGAAACCTTCCACTAGAAACCCAACCCTGAGACCCCAGGACGTCCATTGATTCGTTGGTGTGGGAACGTTGCGCTCTCCATCGCAAAACCATCGAAACCCAAGACAACCCAGGGCGACCCTGGAGGCAAACAGGGTACTTCTTGGCATGAGCTTCCACTGCACATGGTTTGAGGGTCGCGCCTTCCTTCGGGGGAAAGAGGAGGGAGGAAAAGGAGGAGGAGAAGGAGGAGGAGAGAGGAGGAGGAGGAGGAGGAGGAGGAGGAGGAGGAGGAGGAGGAGAAGGAGGAGGAGGAGGAGGTGTTTCTTGGCATGGGCCCCAACTGGAAGGGGCTGGTACTCAAGTCTGCCCCACATTGCCGAGCCGCGGCCAGCACGGCACCCGCCCGCGACCCCGACAGCTGGGCAGACGTCGCCCAACATGCCTTCGCATACGGTCGCCCGCCTGGCGTCGCCGTGCCAGCGACTTGCCGGGCTGCTCACACCTCGACTGACTTTGATTACTCTGGGTGGGATATTAATCGAGGGGTGGGCGACCAACCTTTCCGACGGAGCTTGCCCATCCCCCATTCGCCCCCCTCATCCACCTCCTCCTCCTCCTCCTCGTCCTCCTCTTCCTCATCCTCCTCCTCATCCTCCTCCTCCTCCCTCTCCTCCTCCTCCTCCAACCCCCCCTCCACCCGTTCCGACAGCGCGTGCCCAACCCTCCCCAGTGGATCCAAAGGGAGGCGATTATTGCCCCATCCAGGGCAACCCAAAAAAGACCCCTGGAACTTTGGGAAGGGACCTAAGTTAAGAGGGCCAGAAACAGTAGGGATTGGGTTATGTTCTGCAGATGTGCCAGGCAAAACTGCCCAGATGTATTATCCCCAATCTGAAAGCGTGGACCTCAGTGAGGCCGCGTCTTCATCGTGTTATCAGGGTTAGGGTCCTTTTATTATCAATGAGACTTCCCATCACCCCACTGATCCCGCAACGGCTTCGACCACGTCTCAGAGCCGACAAATGCTTGCACAAGCCCTGGGCAATGTTGCCAGGTGGTCATTACCCCGATCAAGACCACCGTCACCAACCAAGACTGTATTTGGGACCTTTCCCCCACTCAACCAACACAGCCTTGAATATCATCCTCGGGATTCCTGCAGATACGGGCACGCAAACGCAGTTCGGGGCACAATTCAACATTCTGAGCAGTGTCCCCACTCACGTGCGACAGGAGAATGGAAAAGGCGAGTACCATGAACATTGGCTGAGGCGATACTCCATGAGACAGCGTTGCTGAAACCAAACAAACACGCACACGTCCATAAATTCATATTCATTGCCCGGCGAGTTTCCCCAAACCGTGCCTGCATTTAGGGGCCCATACGTCTGTTATCAGGAACTGGGGGGGGGGTTGGTGGTCTGGCGGCCATGGTGTCGCCGTCGCCGCCGCGTCGCCGCCCCGTCGCCGCCCATCGTCTGGGCCTGGTTGTCGGTCACCGCGCTTGATGTCGCCGTCGCCGCCCCGTCGCCGCTTCGTCGCCGCCGGTAGTTTGGGCCTGGTTGTCGGTCGCCGCGCTTGTTGTCGCCGTCGCCGCCCGTCGCCGCCATCCGTCGCCGCTGCTTCTCGGCCTGGTTGTCGGTCTTCGCCCGCGCGCATTGCATTGCACTGCTGTTCATTGGCTTGCAGTGCTTTGCATTGACGTTCAATGCTTCGCATTGCTTTGCGATACTGAGCCGTGATTTGCATTGGCTTGCGTTGCCGTGCTTTGCTTCGCATCGCATTGCAGAACATAGAGTGCACCACATAAATTGCACCACATAGGTTGCACTACATTGATACCTGGGCGCTGCGCTGGCACGGGTAGAGAGTCGACCCCTTTTTGCCACAGCAAGCAGGATCCGAGGAACGAAGTTGCGCCAACAACTGAATCGAAGTGAGCCACTCGAGAGGCTGGCGGCGAGAGGCGGCGGCAGTCGAAGCTGCCTCCGACGCCGACACACAACAAGCAACAGGCCCCCAATAATATTAAGAAAGGGCAGGGAGGGTGGGCCACATGACTATAGAGGATACCTGTCGTATCCACTGCCTCCCCGTTCCCTCTCCACTGAGCAGGTAAACGCATCAAGATTTTCAATACCTGGGCGCTGCGCTGGCACGGGTGGAGAGTCGACCCCTTTTTGCCACAGCAAGCAGGATCCGAGGAACGAAGTTGCGCCAACAACTGAATCGAAGTGAACCACTCGAGAGGCCGGCGGCGAGAGGCGGCGGCAGTCGAAGCTGTCTCCAACGCCGACACACAACAAGCAACAGGCCCATAGCCCATAGATTTGGAACGTGATAGTAGGGCAGGGTGGGTGGACACACAAACAAACAGATGTTAGCAAGATAGACTTATCAGCGAAGCTGGAGCAGCAGCGCCAGGCGGTGCATGAGAGAGTTGCCGTAGCGCGGCTGCTGGTCCGTCATCCTACCGGCCTGGGGAAGGACACGGCCGCCTTTGGCGTAGTCCGTTACGCTGGCCTTTGCCTCCCAGCGGCCGCGCTCCTGGACCTCTGCAAAGGAACGGTAGCGGCCGAGCACGTCCTCGCTCGGGCCGCCGCGACGCGGCCTGTGAGGCGTGAGGCGCAGCTCTGCCAGGCTGGCGTTGGCAGCAGTCTTGCTGAAGAGGCGCTCGAACTTCGCGAGCTTCAGGGTCGGGAAGAGCTTCGCAGTCGATGTCTCCGAATCCGCCAGCAACGTCTCCATCAGTTTGCGGAGGTACCTTTGTCCAGCGGCCATGGGGACCTTGTCGTGAGTCAGCACGGCGTCGTAGTACTTGGCCGTCTTCGCCGGCGGCGAGGGCCGGCCCTGTTCGTCGGGAGATCGGGGCAGAGCAGGGGCGACGCGGACTGCCAGGGGGCCCCGCGCCGACACGTCGGCGACGCCGGCCTGCCGGATGTTGAGCACCTCCGAGGGCAGGAAGCACCCGTCCTGCAGCAAGACCCCCTGTTTCACCAGCTGCTTCACGGTGAGGGCCAGGGCGACCCACGGGCAAGGATCGCGGGCCACCTCGGGCTCCTCCTTGCGCCACCCCTGGAGGGCGCGCTTTGCACGAGGCACGACGCCCTTGTCGGCGAAGCTGAGGTTGAGGCTGAAGGCGACCGCGGCCAGCCCCATGCGGCCCGCGCTGACCGCCTCGCCGTCGAAGTAGAGCTCCGGCACGAACGCCTCCAGGATTTTGCCGAGCCCCCCGAGGTCGGCGAGCGGCGCGCGGCCGTGAATGCGCACGGTCCGGCAGCGCCAGCCCTCGTAGACGGCGGCGATCTTGGCCGGGACGCTCCTGGTCTTCAGGTGGTGCTGGCGAGTCGTCACAGCCTTGGCAGGGGTCGCCGTTGCCGCGGCGCGCCGCTTGCCGGCGCGGGCAGCGCGGGCGGCAGCCCGCGGGCGCTTCGTGGCCAGAGGCTCCGCCTTGGCCGAGCGGGGGCGCCCGCGGCGCGACCCAGCGGTGGTCGCAGCCTCCCCAGGAGCGGGCTCCGAGGGGCCACTCGCGCGGACCCCGTCGGCAGGGCGCGGGTCGAGCCGAGGTCCGGAGGTGGCGGCGTCGACCCCCGCGGCCCGCAGCCGCGCTGTGCGCCACTTGCCGCGCCCCACCGCGTAGCCGTCCTCGCCCGCGCCGAGCCGCGAGCCGCGGGGCGCCGCAGCGGCAGCGATCGCAGCCCAGGCGCGACACAGGCTGGGCGGGCAGGCCCCTGCGAGGGTCGCGCGCCAAGCCGCTCGAGCAGGCGGGGCCGCGGCTGCGGGGGCTGGAGACGTCGAGGAGCAGGGGCTGGGCCGAGGAGTGACAAAGACTTTCCCTTCCAAGACGTCGTGATAGTGACCGCCTCGACACTGCCGGTGCAACTGATCGAGGCCCGGGAGCGCACCCAAGAGACCAGTGGGCTTTCGATAATGGGCACCGAACTCGCGCATATCGATCTCGACAAAAACGGACTGAGGCAGCTTGAAAGAGCGGACGAACGAGGTCATGTTCCCACAATGCTCGAGCGAAGCGGGTTCTCGATTGTCCAAAAGATGCCGAGCCGCCGGCGCAAACTGACCAGCCTTCGGGTAACGCGGACATCCCGCGCGGCACGCTGAGCGTCGGCTGGAGGGAGAGGACCGCGGCGCGCTGTGCTTCTGGTCGCGCAAGGCGCCCCCAAATGCACCCACCAAATAGCACCGCCCCGAAGCCAGCCTTCCAGAACCCGAAGCGCCTTCCAGGAGTGCATGTCGGAGTAGGAGGCCCGCTGGAGGTCCATCGGAGGCAGCGCGTGAAGCCCCGAGCCCACTAGCGCCGAAGACAACCTGCTGGTGCCAGAGTAGACCTCCAGGAACGCTCGAGCACGTCGCGCGGTGCGAGGCGCGCGAGGGGGATGGGGGCGCTCTGACCGGCGCCGCCGGGCGCCCGCAGCCGGCTCGGGGGGGCGGCGGCGCCAGGGCGCGTCGCCGGGGCGGCAGCCGCGGCAGCCTAGAAGTTGTCGAAGACGTAGTAGGCCCGGCGCCTGAAGCGCCAGGGCGAGCGGCGGCGAGAGCCGGCGGGGGCCCCCCGACGAGGCGCCTGCGACGCGGTCCCGCGGGCGCCCAGAAGCCCAGGCGCCGCGGCGGCCCGCCGGCGGCGCCGCCAGCGCCCAGCAGCAGGAACAGCAGCAGGACCTGGCGGGGCGCGGGGGCGGGCCACGGCGCGCCCTCGCGGCCCCCCCAAAAGCGAGAGGGGGGGGGGGGGGGGCGGCTCCATTCGGCCGGGTCGAGGGCCAGGCGGAAGCCCCGAGTGTCTCCCAGGATGGTGGCCCCGGGGGCGACCTCCCCGCGATCCGCAGCACGGGAGTCGCGGTCCGCGCAGTTGCGGGGGCTCTCGATGCACCTCAGGTGCGAGACAATCTCAGCGCCGATCGCGAGGGCGGCCGCCTGTCGCACCAGCAGGCGGAGCCAGAAGTCGGAGGCCCGCCCCTTCATGAACGCCAGCAGCGCGCTCAGGTTGTCGGCGAGCCCGAGCGTGGTAGGCCCAGCCGCCCTTCACGATGTTGCGCCATCGCTCGGGGTGGGCCCAGGTGTCGCCCAGGGCGTGGAAGGAATCCGAGGCCTCGACCACGCGGCAGGGCGCCAACCGCCGGCGAGGCCAGGAGGAGGGCGCCGAGCGGGGCGGTCCTGCGGCCAGGTGACCGGGGCGCACGACGCGGCGCGGCCGCCGTCGCCGGGCAGCTCCGTGAAGCTGATCTCCTCCGTCTTGAACCTCCAGCGCTCGCGCAGGCGGTCGGCGTCCAGGATGTCCGAGGGCGACGCCCGCGCGAAGGAGAGCGAGTAGCTGAAGGTCGAGCTGTCCCCCGAGAACACCACGGGCGCGCGCGGCGCCGCCAGGTCCACGTCGACTAGCTTCACGAGGCCCTTCAAGACCCGCAGCTCGGCGACCAGGGACTCGCTGAACCAGCCGCAGTCGCGGCGACCATAGCGCTGCAAGAAGCGGTGGCACTGGTCGAGAGCGGACAGCCCCCAGGGCATCAAGAGGAAGTGGTTCACCAGATGGCCTACCACGCGTTCAAGGGCGACGCCGGGGCAGCGACCCTGCTGGAGAAGACGCTCGATGGCGAGATAGAGCCGCCAGGTGTACTTCTCGGTCGGCAGCAGCTCGAGCTGGGATCCGCCTAAGAAGCGTAGGCCCACCGCGGTGAGCCCCGTCTGGGCGGGCTCGATGTCGTGCACAATGAAACCCATCTCCTCCAGACGCGCGAGGTAGCGGTCCTGGCCGCGCTGCGTGTCAGCGCGATTGAAGCCGATCACGGCGCCGTTGTCGACGTACACCGAGAACACGGGGCGCCCGGGAGCGACCAGAAGGGCGGGGGCGCCCTCGCGCAGCAGGCCGCCCAGCGGTAGCAGGGGGCGGCCTGGGGCGCGGGCGCGCGGGCCCGCCGCCGCGAGAGCGGCGTCCTCCATGATGGCCCGGCAGAAGTAGAGCGCCCAGCTGAAGCCCACGCAGAGCACCTCCATCACGGAGTACAGGGCGGTGTCGCCGTCGACGGGGACGCCCCTCTCGGCGTCCTCGTCGCAGCAAGGGGAGACCCCCCACTCGCGGGCCGCGAAGCCGAACTCCACGCCGAACCACCGCCCGAGCCGCTTAGCTCGGCACTGGTAGAAGCCCTGGTGCAAGTCCAGGCTCGCGACGCGGACGTCGGCCCCCCGCGGGTCACAGCCGGCGATCTCGAAGGCGGCGTCGCTGAGGTCGAGGTCGCGGAGGGCGCCGGGGCCTCCGAGCTGCACGTGCGGGGGCTCCTGCGTGAGCTGGTTAGCCTCACGGGCGTCGACGATCACGCGTTGGGAGCCGCCCTTCTTGGCGCGGAAGGCCAGCGCGATGCGGGCGCGGATCGACGCACGGAGGCCGCCAAGCCCGCGCGCCAGCAGGTCCTTCAGCAGCGCGAAGAGGGCCGGGCGGGAGGCGCGGAGCTTGGGGTCCCAGTACGGCTTCACGGGCGTGATGAGGCCGTCCTGGATGCGCGCCTCCACCTCTGCGGCGGCGCGCTCGAGGCGCCGCTCGGACTCCAGGTGCTGCGTGAGGGCGAAGCTGGACAGCACGGACTCCAACGGCTTGGGATTGGTCGGGCGCTTGAGGACCTTCAGGCGATCGGCGTCGAAGACCTCGAGGCCCTGTGGCTCTGTATCATACATGTCGCTGGTGTTGAGAAGCTCAAACAAGGCTTCCTTCGGGGAGGTGCGTGGCGCGGACCCCCAGCGCGAAATCCCCTCCCTACCCGACTGATCACCGAGGCCTGGGGCTCGTTGGGGACGCAGGAGGGAGGGTCGATGATAGCCAAAGGCGACTGGGCAGAGGCCGCCGCCAACGCGTTCAGCGCGACGATCGACTCGGCCACGCCAGCATGCCGTACACGACGGCGAGAGGAAGCACGAGCTGCCACACGATGCTGACGACAGTCATGATGCTCAAGACCAGGGCAGGGGAGCGGAAGACGTCAGCGTGCGAGGACGTGACGGGCCCAGCCTGCCGAAGAGATTGCACAGGATGCGAATTCGGGCCGATGATGACGGGGGACGCGAGGTCCGACTGGGCGGCCAGGTCAGTCGGCTCAGGGCAGGCGTCCCCCGCGGCCGCAGTCATGAGTCCGCGGGCGCCGACCCCTTGCTCTTGGGATCGGACGCCCGCTTGCGCTCTGCTTCCTTGTCCAGCTGCCGCTGCTTCGCGATCGTCGCTTGGTCCTTCTGGCGGTCGGCTGCCGCCTGAATGAAGACCGCCGTCGTCGCCGCTCCACTCTTGTCAGGGGGCACGCTCATCAGCATGTCGAGACCCGTGAGGTCGGGCACCTTGGCGAAACGCTGCGCCGCCGCCTCGATGTGCACCGGGCGGCGGAGCACGAGCCCGGCGCTGGCCAGCATGGAGACACCCGTCGGGTTGAACTGCACCTGCCAGCGGAGCATCTCCGAGAGGAAGAAGTGCTCGCGAGCCGGGGCGCCGTGGACGTTGACCCTCGACAGGCCGGCCCACTCGTGATGGTAGGAGGCGGGCGACTGGCCCTGGGCGCGGAGGCTCTGCAAGAACTCGGCCGCCACGGGCGGACCCGACAGCGGGAAGTGCTCGCTCTTCCCGGTGCCATAGAGGGCGAGGGTGTCCGCCTCGGAGGAGTACGGCCCGCCGTGGCGGGCGCGCCGCAGGCCCGTCACTCGAGGGGCGCGGCCGAAGGCAGTGACCCTGTCCAGCCGCCAAACCTCTTCCCGTCCGGCCTCCTCCGCCTCGGCGTGGACCCGGTGGTGGTCCACCAGCACGAGGGCGCCGGCCTCGTGGGCGACGGCGCAGGCGGGGTCGGCCACCGCGGCCTCGGGCTCGGCGGAGGCGAGGGCCTCGTGGGTGGGGTCGGCGTCGAGCCAGACGGTGTCGGGGGCCGACACGCCTGCGGCCGTGTTCCCGTGGGCCGCGGCCGGCATCTCCCCGCGCCTCTCGAACTCGGCGAGCTCCGCCGCCGAAGTCGAGTCGAAGATGAAGCATTCGTCGCAGTACGGCGCCGGGATCAGCTCATTGCGGTCCAAGGGGAGGGCCAAAGGCCGCGAGAGATCCAGCACCCGCACCGTCACCGTCGACGCCACGACCGTCCAGAGGCCATTCCCGTCGGTTTGCGGCAGGAGGCGGAGGTGCCAGTAGCGCCCATCCGGGTCGTCGAGGTAGTCGGACAGCACCTGGGGGTTGGGCGGGCCCTGTGCAGGCACTCGGGCGGAGGTGGGCCCCGGCAGCCACCCGCGCCCGCTGGCGCGGCTCGCAGCAGCCGCGGGAGACGATCCCAACGAAGAAGCCCACGAGCAGCAAGAGTGCGGCCAGCCCGAGCCAAGCGGGCAGCGGCAGCAGCGCGCACAGCGGCTGGGGTGCTGTCGCGCACTCGGCCGCCCGCGCCGCTGGTGCCGGGCCGACGCCGAGGACGCCAGGGCAGCGGTCCAGGGCGAGCTCCAGGCCGGGGGACTCCCCGCGCAGCGGGTCGCCCCACCCGCAGGCACGCCGCCGACCCCGCAGTGGCAGCGGCAATCGGGCGCTGGGAGGTCGAAGGCGGGGCCGATGTGAGTGGCCCAGGTCGAGACAAGATTCGCGGCCACAAACCAGCCTCCGAAGTTCATTCGGGAGGCCTGAACCCACATGACTATAGAGGATACCTGTCGTATCCACTGCCTCCCCGTTCCCTCTCCACTGAGCAGGTAAACACATCAAGATTCTCAATTGCACAACCGATTGTGCACGACATACGTTGCAGAATGTATACAGAAGCACAGATGTCAGACGCAGAATGTTGCGCAACATGGATTGGACCAGATCGAGTGGTTCACATAGATTGCACCATACATATCGCACCATACATGTTGCACAACATGGAGTCCACAGCATAGATTGCACCACATTGATTGCACGACATAAAATGCACCACATCGGCTGCACAACATGAACTGCACCAGCCGTAGTGCACAACATAGACTGCACAGCATAGGCTGCACGAACTATATTGCACGACATGTGTTGCACCATCTTGATTGGATTGCACAATATCACAGTGAGGGGGGTGAACGGTCATTCAGTGTCCCTGGGTGCGTGGCTGAAAAGAGAATCCGTGGTGAGGATTATGCTTGTTGCGTCGTCGTTGTTGTTGTTGGTGGTAGTGGTGGTGGTGGTGTTGTTGTTGCTGTTGCTGTTGTTGTTGCTGCTGGTGATGATGATGATGATGATGATGATGCTGATGATGATGATGATGATGATGATGATGATGATGATGATGATGATGCTGTTGCAGTTGCTGTTGATGTTGTGTTGTCGTCGTCCCACCCGCGACCCACCCGCGCCCCACCCGCGACCCACCCCGCGACCCACCCCGCGACCCACCCCGCGACCCACCCCGCGACCCACCCGCGACCCAACCCGCGACCCAACCCGCGACCCACCCGCGACCCACCCGCGACCCACCCGCGACCCACCCGCGACCCAACCCGCGACCCACCCGCGACCAACCCTGCGACCCATCCGCGACCCACCCGCGACCCCCCCGCGACCCACTTGCGACCCACCCGCGACCCGCCCCGCGACCCAACCGCGAACTCATCCGCGACCCAGCCACGACCCAACAGCGACCCACCCGCGACACACCCGCGACCCAACCGCGACCAATTTGCGACCCATCCGCGACCGACCCACATTGGTTTAACGAAAAATCGGCGCCTGCGGCGGGCGTTTTTGCACAATTTGTGAAACGTTGGCGCCTGCGGCGGGGTTCTCCAGAGTCTCGCAGACTGCCGACGTCCCCACCGCCCCCTCACTCTTATCCGCTTCTGCGAGGTGCTATGGTAAACAACACCACATAAACTGTGAAACATGGATTGCACCACATACACTGCTAGATGCACACTGCTTCGGGGCCCATGCTGGCGAACATGTGATTTGCAAGCCGCAGTCTCTGAAAAGGGGACCCGTCCACAACCAGGCCGTCGACATGTCGCAGACAGCGAAGAGCGATGGCTCCCCGTGGCAGTTCAGCCACAGGGACCTCGGCCGACGACGACGACGACGACGACGACGACGACGGCGGCGATGACGTCGACGACGACAACGGCGACGACGACGACGACGACGACGACGACGACGACGACGACGACGACGACGACGACGACGACGACGACGGCGACGACGACGACAACTCCGACGCTCCCCCTGCGGCCTCCACTTCGCCCAGGGGTGCGCACGGCCCAGCCGGCACCATGGAGGCCCGGGCAGGGCGCCTCGCCCGAGCGAGGGCGGGGGCCCCCGCAGTGCACGCCGCTTGCCGCCGCCGCCGCAGGGGCGGTCCTGTCGAGCCGATGTCGTGCACGCATCTGCAGTCGTGGGGTCCAACTCCTCTTCCTCCTCCTCCTCCTCCTCTCCTCCTCCTCCTCTCTCTCTCCTCCCCCCCCCTCCTCCCCGTCCTCCTCCTCCTCCTCCTCCTCCTCCTCCTCCTCCTCCTCCTCCTCCTCCTCCTCCGCCTCCTCCTCCTCCTCCTCCTCCTCCTCCTCCTCCTCCTCCTCCTCCTCCTCCTCCTCCTCCTCCTCCTCCTCCACCTCCTCCTCCTCCTCCTCCCTCCCCTCCATCCTCCTCCTCCTCCTCCATCCTCCTCCTTCCTCCTCCTCCTCCGCCTCCTCCTCCTCCTCCTCCGCCTCCTCTCTCCTCCTCCTCCTCCTCGCTCCCCCTCCCCCCTCCTCCCCCTCTCCCTCCCCCTCCCCCCCCCTCCCCCTCCCTCTACAATTACTCAATATGAAAAAATACTCTCCTCTTCCCCTGATGGCGGTTGGGTGATCGCCGACCCCCCCCCCGCGTACTGTTTTTTTACACACAGGATTCCCGGGAAACGGGTTTTCGCCTGCGCTGTTTTTCCAAAATGCTGCTCTCGCTGAGGCGTCGGCCTCATTTCTGCTCCCGAATCGTTCCGAATCGTGCTCCCGCTGCAGCGTGGGCCTCATTTTCGGATCGGTGTTTGGCCTCCGTCGTTCAGGATGGCGTTCTCGCCCCAGCGCGGGCCTCTTTCTCGCGCGCCCATCCGCCCGCCACCACCGCGCCGCACCACCACCACCACCACCACCACCACCACCACCACCACCACCACCACCACCACCACCACCACCACCACCCACCACCACCACCTACCACCACCATCAACCACCACCACCACCACAACCACCACCATCTACAACCACCACCCACCAACCACCACCACCACCAGCACCACCTACCACCACCACCACCACCACCACCACCCCACACACCACCACCAACACCACCAGCACCACCAGCACCAACCAGCACCACCACCACCACCTCCACCACCACAACCACCACCACCTCCACCACCACAACCACGCACACACGCACGCACGCACGCACGCACGTGCACCACCACCCACTACGCACGCGCGCGCGGAGCCACAGGTCCGCTACGACACGCGTCCGCGGATAGAGAAAATCAGCGCCATGGTAAGGGATGGGAGGGAGGGGTAGAACGTCAGATATGACGCGAGCGCACCTAGCTTGCCTCTCCTCCTCCCCCTCCTCCGTCACCCTCCTCCCCCTCCCCCTCTCCTCCTTCCCCTCCTCCCCCCCCGACCCCCCCACCTCCTCCCCCGCACCTCCTCCTCCTCCTCCTCCTCCTCCTCCTCATCCTCCTCCTCCGCCTCCTCCTATTCCTCCTCCTCCCCACCTCCTCCTCCCTCCGCCCCTCCTCCTCCTCCTCCTCCTCCTCCCTCACTCCCCTCCTCCTCCTCTCCTACCCCCTCCCCCGCCCCCTCCCCCTCCCCCTCCCCCTCCCTCCCCGCCGCCTCCTCACACTCCCCTACCTCCTCCTCCTCCTCCTCCTCCGCCTCCTCCTCCTCCTCCGCCTCCTCCTCCTCGACTCCTCCTCCCTCCTCCCTCCCCTCCTCCTCCTCCTCCTCTCCTCCTACCTCCTCTCCTCCTCCTCCTCCTCCCCTCCGCCTCCTCCTCCTCCTCCTCCTCCGCCTCCTCCTCCCCTCCTCCTCCTCCTCCCCTCCTCCTCCTCCATCCTCCTCCTCCTCCTCCTCCTCCTCCTCCTCCTCCTCGTTCTCCATCATCCCTTCCTCGTCGCTGGCCATCCGTAGAGGACACTGAGGTGTGAGAGAGGGAGAGGCTGGTGGCGGATGGAATCCCAAATTCATGTTGCAGACTCTGTGAGCGAACGTGCGCTACTGCCCAAGAGAACGAGGCCGCAACACTGCCGAAAAACACCGCGAAGCTAGACCAAAGCACGGTGCCTGCTCCCTCGAGTAATGAGGTAACCAGTGGCGAGGCTGTACATGGGTACATTCGTGCGCCGAGACATGAGGCGAACTTCCTGCATTGTAGTCTTCCGCTGTGTTTACATCAGAGTTGGATGCAAACCAAACGAATGTTCACTCGGAGAAGAAATCACGCTCGGGCACTTGCCTGCAGTAGACACTCGGAGCTCGTCCCTGGTTCCGAAGAGCTGGAAAATATGACCCAGGCCTGGGCTCACGGAAATCATGGGAGGGGCGGCAGCAAGAGCATAGACAAAGACAGCATGTGGCTGAAGGAAGACTGCGGATAAGGATGAGCACTCGCATCTGCCAGAGATGTTTAGCACACGCATCTGCATCACTACGAACGGATTCCGCCTCTGGCTCTTATGAAGATCCTCCTGAGGCAACACAGAAGATAGCTATGGCTGCAGCAGCGATAAGCATGGTTCGCTGGCATGGTCATTTCTGTGGCGCCACACTCCAACGCAGGCGAGCTGCATCTGACATCACCCGGTACCTGGCCGCTCCAAGGCCTTCAGGTCGACGTCCTCGAGCTGGAAAGCTTCCATCACCTTCGCGCGGCTCTCACGACGCCGCTGGATAGTACGCTCTCTTCAACATCCTGGATAAGGGCTAAGAAGAGAGGAATCTGAACCCGGTCTGCCGCGTACGGCCCCATCCCCACAGGTGCCATGAAGACTAGTTCCCGAGCACACGGGAGTCCCCCATTGGAAGGCGTGGCCGTCTGGGCTGGGTCGGTCTCGTCGCGGAGCGCCTGGAGGAGGTCTCCAGAGACGCTCTGGAGATCGTCAGCTGCTTCCCAAGAGGCCCTAAAAGTGAGTCGTTCGCTTCGCCGCCATGCGTCGTAGGGAATCGCACCGGGGCCTGGCATGCTGTCGCATGAGCGATTTAACACATTATCCGCGTCCACGTCCAATAGTGCCCGTGTGTCTGGGGATATGTCGAATGGTGAACGGGCGTGGTGACGACGTTGGCAGCCGGAAGGAAAAGGGCAGCTCTCCGAATACATTCTCCACCGTCTCTTGCTAAAGTTCACCGCGCACTGACTGACGAACAGCACCCTGGACTCTACAAACGCTCTTGTGCGAAAGCCACGGATACGAGTCCCCCGGAATCTTCGCAGGCGCCCCGTGTGAACAAGCTCGCACTGTCACTGCAAAA